GGGGGGGGGGGGGGTGAAAAGTCAGATTAATAATTGGATTGCATTTTGCAAAAAGGAACCACTAGCATTGCAATGATGCTAAGATTGTGCAACTTCATCCTTTGCAATAAAATTGCGGAATTTGTGAAAAACTATGAATTTTATATGGTAATTTTTTTCTTAAATTTACAGTTTTTAGCGAGTAAAATAGAAACTATTAAGGGATGATCGGGTTTTTCCTCCAAGACAAAAGAAGTTGCACAATCTTAGCAACATTGCAATGCTAGTGGTTCCTTTTTGCAAAATGCAATCCAATTGGGAAAATGAATTATTTCATATATCACTGAAAAAAAGTAATTAAAATCATGTTTTTAAAAAAATTAAGAGAGACTTCTCTACTATTGAATAAATTGTTATTATTTATTTCTTTTTTTTAAAAAAAAATATTAGTTTTCATTTTGGGAGAAAACTGTTTCTTCAGTAATTTTTTTTTTAAATTCAAATGAGTTTTTTTTTTTAAAAAAAAAAAAAAAAAAATCAGAGAAATGTAACTTTGTCGTCGATGACAAATGAGAGGCTTGGAGGACAAGGCGCACGAGTACAGTTTTTGAAAAATTGAGATAACAATGATTTCAAGTAAAACTAGTCTTCGTATTCTGTGAAAAATTCGCTCCCAAATGCCAATTTTTAAGCATCAAAAAGTCAGTTTGAGCTTTCGTCCCACCACAAGGATCCATGTAATTTCGAAACTTCAATCACGTTTTGCTCGAAATAGCAAAAACTGCACTCATGCACCTTGTCTTCCAAGCCCCTCAAATGGAATTTCCTTTGAATTAAATTAGAACTCATTTGATTTAGAATACATTTCTTCCACCCAAAAAAATTTGGCTGCAGATAAAAAAATATCACTTTAGAAAAACTTTTTTTGTGTCAAAGAAGTAAGAACACGATGTTTCTGGAACATGCACTGGAATAAAATTATCCTCGATCTAAAGTCCAGACTCTTAGAAAAATTGGCAAGGAAAAATACTCTTAATTTAATCAGATTTTTGCTTGCATTGAGGGCCAAGCTTCTTAATTTAAGCGGATTTCCTGTTGCTTTAGACAAAAATCTGATTGAATCAAGAGTATTTTTCCTTGTCAAATTATTTAAGAGTCTAGACTCAGGATCCAAGATACTTTTTTTCACTGTGGAGCGTGAGCGTTGAATATGGATGTTTTCTGGCCTACCTCGAATATTGAAGGCGGAATAGCAATGCGCGTATTCTTCCTCCGTCGTATCAAATCTGCCTCTACTCAGCAGTACTTGTCGAAGGATAAGCTCTTTTTTGAAAACTAAGGTAACTACTGAGCTCAACACAAAAGTTGGCAAAAGTTCAAGTTTTGAATTAATAGTCGAAATCATGAGGGCAGTAAAAAATGTATTGATGGAAGTATTTTATAATAGATTTTTACCGAAAAAATGAGGTTTCAAAATACTAACGGTCTCACATTATTGTTGAAATGCAATGGTCAAAGGCTCCGTTCATTACGAATATGCCTGAACATTCCGAATCAGCGGGCCGATTATTGAAACTGATAGACAAAGAAGACATAGGGACCATGGAGCGATCCTATTGGTTGAATGGTTGGTTCCTATAGACTAAGGAAGAAAATGATGGACTAACTGTCGGGTCTTTGGTGCGTAGCCGTTAGTTAGTCCATTACCTACCTCCTATGTCCATTGCCACCACCCTCGTCGATAGGATCCCTCCAAATTCCTTTTGTCGTCTTCGTCTATAGCTTTGTCTCTCAGTTTCAATAATCGGCCCGTGGAGGCGGATTCAGCAATTTGGCATCGGCAAGTGGCAACACCGGATTTCCTCCATTTAAACCGATGCCAAATAATCGATTCTTGTCAGAGTACCTGCCCCCCCCAGAAAAATCGATACATTTCCAAAGGTTTAAGTGGAGGAAATCCGATGTTGCCAAATTGATGGATCCGCCAATGGACAGAACTGTACAATGCACGCTGTATTAATTTTATTTCACGCACTTACCGGCAACGGAGGCGAAGATCTGTCTCTTTTGGGCGGTGTGCTCAGCCTCCTCGGCGAAGACGGCAACGAAAGCAAGAGCAAAGAGGAACTAGAAATAAAAAAGATGCGAAGTTTTACCAAAAGCGAAATAAATTTATTTGTTGGCATTGGGTTAGCTGTCGCGGGTACAGAGCTGTGTTCTGACTGTCGAATCTCAGAGGTTAGCAAAGTAAAATGACTATTTCAAAATCCAAAGTTATACATTCCTAATATAAACGAAGAAATCTTCTCCTAAAAAAAAAATCGGCGATGACGTCATCCATAATGATATCCCAATGGTCATACGACGAAGAAATCACGATGTACAAATTATGCTATTCCCTGCTATTCTGAATTACGTGGCAAATAATGCGCGATTAGACGAAAAAAAACAAAACCAAAAAACCGTGATTGATATTTTTTTAATAAGGGTCTAACTCCGCAGCTCTTCTTAAAATTCAAGAGCAGACAAACAAATCCCCTATTGCTTAAACCAAACTGCTAGAAATTGAAAATTAAACCAAAATTGATTAAAGAATTATGAGATTCTTTCGACTGCTTTTCCCACGATCCGATTTGCTGTCCGTTTTATCATAGTGATAAATCGCTGCCGCCGACGTTTTTTAGTATTCTTGATCAATTTTAAAAAAATGGGCTTTGGAAACACTTCGCCTCGATTTTCTCGCTTCACAGTGCGATTTCTCTTCTTTTTTTAAACGTACAGACTTTTTCAAATCATAAGCCAAAACTTTGAAACGAATAAAATGAGAAAAAAAACTTACGAAAATTCTGACAGGGCTCATTTTGAGGGTGGTTATGGGTGTGTTCGTGAGTTGAGAAAAGTATTTTGATCGTCGAGAACTTAGAAACTGATGATATATTGAGTGTCGGAGCGAGTTTTTATACCGGCCTCCTGATTAGGTCAATTAATGGAGCTTTGGTGGGGAAAGCTCATAACGTTCATTGAGCAAATTTATGGGGCTACGGGCGAGGAACCTCTGTGGGAAAAACAAAAATAAGAGAAATCGTATCACCTTCTGGTGTAAACATAATGAAACAACAGTGGAGTTCGAGAAAAAGAGCAAGGGAAAACTTTCACACCTGAGTGGATATTAAGATCTCTTAATTGAGTTTTGGCTTTGGGGTCACTATTAATAATTATTTCTAGCTATATGGATACGTTTGATTGCGATAAATGTTCAACAAGCCGATTATTTTACTTTTAGGCACGTTCCCCATTTCTAGGTCTTTCTTTATACGGCGAGCTGACATCGTTATGGCTGAATAGAAAGAAGAATTTCATCTACAAGGACCTTAATTTGTAACTCTGAGAACGCATAACAATCCGTAAGTCCATCTACAACATGATTTAAAATCAGAGATTTAACGTAAATGCAAGGATCTTAAAAAGTACTGCTAACCATTCATTTTTTATCAGATATTTTCATCTTAATTCATTTCCGATTTTACGTCTTTTAAGGAAAGAACAATACAAATCAGTACAAAGCGAAAAACAAAGACACAAAATGAACTTTAATGAGTTTCAGTGCAAGACTGAGGTGCGAGAGTGTCCAGCATAGGCAGATGCATCGGAACTGAAGTTTCCAAGGATTTTACATTTTTATGGAGAATAGCGTTTTTAACTGAAGATATAGCATTCGACCCAAAAACTCTTCATTTTCCCTCTCGAGAAATTCATCAGGTTTGATCAACGACTATTAATAATTACACCTCTATATTCTTCAGATAAAATAATTATGACGCTGCCGTCAAAATCAGTCCGTGGGCTACACATTGGGATAATTTGAGCGACTCGAAGCAAGTTATTCATTAAAGCTACTTTATTCTAATTTAGTCTAAAATTGTCTAAGATTTAAAACAAAAAATTCAAAAAGGATTTGAAAGGGGGTTCCTCTGAATTCGATCCATTCTTCGACGTCTACTGAATACTGCCTCGTTGACTTTACATCCTGAGACCCCTTTCATTCTGCCTTAGCCGCCTTCAAATGTTTTTAAATTTCTCCTGATAAAATACCTATTTATTCATGAATATAGTTATGAATATTTCTCCTTCAATATTGCTTAAATATTGAGCTGAATCGTAAGTACAATTCTCTGAGAAATTCTTAAATTTCCTAGAACATTCATATTTTATCAGAAGAAATTTGGTGACCTCCGAATTTTCGGATGCGCTGCCATATATGTATCTCTCCCTTGCTAGCCGATTATTGAAATTTTGACTTTGCCATTATAGGTCTCTAAGAGGAGACACTAAAGCCGAAGTCCATGCTATGAAATTGGCTGTTCCATTACGTGCACTTTTTTTTTGCCCCCTATCAAGATGAAATTGGTGATTTTTTCATGAAGCACCACCAGAGGATCCGATAATCCTTCAACACATCGCACTGAAAAAAAGTTCTGTTGTCACAAACCAGAATTTCTGGTTGTATTTCGCAACCAGATTTTCCGGTTGATTCATCCAGAATTACAGTTGACTCAACCAGACGTCTGGTTGACTCTACCAAATTCTGGTTGAGTCAACTGTAATTCTGGTTAAATCAACCGGAAAATCTGGTTGCGAAATACAACCAAAATTTTTGGTTTGTGACAACAGAACTTTTTTTCAGTGCGGGATGAAGGTTGCTAACGGCCAAGACAATGAATAAAAAATCAGCCTTTAAATTCATTTTTGTTTTTGAAATTGTTCGTATAGAGTGATGAAAAAATTTTGAGACTGTATTTTTTTTGGGATGATTTTAATTCGCGAAATTTAACAAAACAAAAATAACACTTAATTATACATTCATTGTTGCTGTCCGGGATTTGAGACCCAAGTTCGGATGAGACTTGTTTTCATTAGAGGTAACAAGAGTTTTTCCTGGGCATTTTTAGGAGAAGAGATTGTACATGGGTTCGTATTTGCCTGGGAACCATTTGCCATCATCTTGACCGTAAGCGATGGCCGGAGCAGCGGCATATGAACGAGCGATCGGCATGGCTAGTCGTTGGTGGCCCCAGGCAGCGTATGGGAAGCCTGAAAAAAAGAAGCTAAAATCATCGATCTACCCTAGAAGAAATTGTATCCTTCATCGAAAATGAACGAGGTATTGGAAAAACATTAAAAAAGAACGAATCGAATGAACGAGAACCTATGCAGGCTTTCATCTTTAAGCCCTTGGTTCCAAGCGAAATCCGTAAAAAAGACGATGGAGAATTTGAAAAGAAAGAAAATTGTTGCATAACGATATTTGGGGGTTTTTTTACAGAGAGAAAAAACATTGCATTTTACCAAAAGTGTTGAAAATTGCGATGAGCACATCGGGTTGGTCTGAAATTCACTTAAAACTTCAGAGTCTGCTGAAAACGTTTGCGCTTTTTTGAGCTTTTCGCTTTAAAAAATATATTGCGGCAAAATACAGGAGAGTCATTCAAGTCTCACATATCCTTGCAGAGCTGAAAATGATATCACAAGCGGTATGCAACGTTTAAGAATTTTCGCCACCATTTTATTTTTTTACAGAAAAATTGTTGGTTGAATCTGTCCGAAAAGTTCACTGAATTTTATCGGTGGCCATAGAGAAAAAAAAGGAGGTGTTTGCATTTCGGGCATCTTGGAATTTTTTGATGACTTGATGACGTAGGTGGGTACAGTGTGAAGGGGACGTCCCTGTACCCAGCTGTACCCACCTACGTCATCAAGTCATCAAAATACTCCAAGATGCCCGAAATGCAAATACCTCCTTTTTTTTCTCTATGATCGGTGGCACAGACTTTAAAATTCTGTGAAATTTTCAGACAGATTCAAGCAACAATTTCTCTGTACAAAAAATAAAATCGCGGCGGAAATTTTTAAACGTCACATGGCGCTTGTGATACTTTGGCCGCAAGGTGACGATATATCGATTCATCTTCCATTCACACATATGGAAAAGGCTCGATAAACGGGATGTTCGTAACGAATACCTTAATATAATCTATTCTTTACAATAGCTTATGAGGGAGAAATATCAAAAATCGATCATTCACGTTCGCCATTGGATCTGATTATCTTTTATTGATCTATGAATTTCAACAATTAAATCACAAATCTATGATCATCTAGACTAACCCATTAGGTATATTAAGTTACTTGGACGATTCTGAAAGGCGGACAGTTTGATGTCCTATTTTAGAGTTATTATAAGCACCGACACTTACTGGGATTGTAGATTTGTCTCTTCGCAATTTCTTCCTCTGCGGGTGCAGCAAACACAGCGACGATAGCGAGAGCAAAGAAGAACTTCAGAGAAAAATATGGTAGGATTGGCACGGCGAGGATGATGAAACAAAACAAGAAATGAAATTGACAAAATAAAAATTTGTTTAGTGAATGAAAGTCGCTCAAATGTTTTTATAAAAGGAACTAGGGATTTTTGGTGGAAAGAGGGAAGCGCTGAATATGAAAACCCCAGATCTGAGAGACACACGGACTACAGGAACGCTCTGCCGTGATAGCAAAGAGAGCGCAGTAAGTGTCAAATTTTCGAAATCAAGTTTCCTTCAAAATTCGTCTGAACTCTTTCAGATGAAATCACTGATATTGCTAAAACAGCGAATTTAATCTTCATTGTATCAAAACGAGACATATGAGAAATCCGTAAGTGCTCAAAAAATGACGTAGTCTTAGACAAGACAGCAGTAAGCGACGGTACTCCTCCAGAGAGACAATGAAAACAGTGCTTTACTGCTTTCAAGTAAAGTGCCCCCCTCTCCTGTGAATTTCTGACCTGAAAATTCGTTTGTTGTGTGTCCAAAACGCAACTACAAAAGCATGCAGAAGATGGCACTTACGGCTGTCTTGCCTAACAATTACCTAGTATGAAAATGAAAAATACCCTTTTTATATAATTGAAATAAAATCAGTCGATTTTTAATCATCCAAACGATTTCTAGGAGTCTTGCGGACTTTTATCCATAAAATTTTCTGGTCAGAGGCTTCGGAGCCCGTTTTCTCAAAACTTTATTTTTACACTTACTGCTCTCTTGGCTATCACGGCAGCGCTTTTCTTCCACGAGGGGAACTTAAGACAATCCCCAAGCGCTAAGGGAGGTCCGCATGGATGTCATTGAGAACATTGTAAAAATTGGGACTCCTCAGGAGAAATCATCCGCTGTTTTTACGGCAGAATGTATTGAAAGTTTTAAAATAAAAAATTAACAAGGGCAGAAATGACGAGAAGATTTAGCAAAATTGAGTACGCGGTCTACACCCTGGTAAAAATTGGCAGTAGAATCTGTGTTTCAAAATACCATACACCAACACCTACAGCCGACTGTAAGATTTCCAATAGCTTCTATAGCCGTCAACACAATTTCTTGTAGCCTTTTATAGCCGATGGCGATTAAGCAACAGCCTGGCGATAAAGTGTATGCTAAACGTTACTAATTTCGGATGCTAGGACTTATTGTTAGTGAGTTTATGGACTACCGCTCTCTTTTTGGGCCGTAGTATTTTGCGAGGAAAGCTCCGTTCTTTTGAAGGATGCCTGGCATTCCTAGTATTTTGGAACGCCTTCAATTTCGTATGATACTGTGCAATACCTCTGGTGTGAAATAGTTGCTTCAAGCGCCGTGGCATGCGGGCAGCCAGCGCGAAACACGCATTGGCGCCTACAAACCTAACAGGGATACTTCACGCGTTGCGCAATGCGTGAAGTATTCCTGCTAGGTTTGTAGGCGCCAGTGCGCCGCCGCTCCGCTTTGTGTTAGGCTCTAATATTTAGTCTCGTGGAGTCAGCGTTTTTCAACTCATGACTTTGAAATGTTTGCACACTCTTTATGGATTATTCTCATTTTAATTGATGATAACAAATATGTAGTAAAGGAAAATATAATGTGCGTTTTGTAAATATTAAAGTGATTCCGTACAAACTTAAGGATTTACAAAGCACACGAATTTCTACACAATTTCTTATAGCCTTTTATAGCCGAATGGCGAAAAACCAACAGCCAGGCGATAAAGTGTGAAGCCCGGCGACAGGAACTATAGCCCGGCTGCATAATTTTTTATCGCTTCGTGTAACCCGGCCGTACAATTTTCCCCACTTTCTACGGCCAGCTAAATGATCTTCTGTCGCCTTCTTCAGTCGGCTATAAGAACTCCTATGGTATTTTGAAACGAAGCTCCTACCGCCAATTTTTACCAGGGCAGCGAGCCGATCGGAAACCTTAGGGGACCACCGCCACCCCTCACCACCCTTTCCGTGCTGCTTTCCAATTTCGTTCAATTTATTCTTCTGTGTTTTTTACTAAACCCTCAAGAAATAGGTATCGCGTAAAACAAACATGAAAATAAGCCTGTCTCAAAAGGGGTGCTAAGGTATGATGTGAAGCAAACGGATCACTTTGCTTAGGTGAGAATGATGCTTACTTTCACAACAAGGGCACCGAAACTTTATTTTAAATTTTAAAATTTCTTCGCCGGCAAACTGTTATTTTTCAGCGTGCCTCTTAAAAGACCAGTGGGAATGAACCAGCAGACAGGATAGAAAATCAATCAAAATAGTTCCTAATTAAAAGTTCACTGAAAACACATGGGACATATTAAAAATATTCCATTTCAAACCCGTAGTCGTAGGATGATAATAATACTGGTACAGGTGGGTGGTTTCACGATAACTGGAATAGTTTTGTCGCCGTAACCGACAACACAGTTTTCGGTCATATTTTTAGTACAAAAGACAATCACTCAAATTTTTTCGCATTAATCTTCAGGGTTACGTATCATAACGCTTTCCAATGATTCATTACTCTACTTCTCAAGTAATATTACGTAAATTCCGAAAATGTGCTGTCTGCTGTTACGCGGTAAGGAGCCAGCGTAACAGACAGCACATTTTCGGTCATTTATACATTAAATTTGAAAAGTAGAGCGATAAATCTTTGAAAAACGCTATAACGCGTAACCCTGTGTAGATTAATGCAAACAAATTCGAGTGATTATCATTAATAAAAAAGAAAAAAAAAATGATCTGTCTAATAAGGCGACAAAACTATTCCAGTTACCGTGAAATCATTAAGGTAAACTAAGGGACTCGGGAGGACGAGGCTTATATGTGCAATTTTTGCTATCTCAAAAAATACGTGTTTAAAGTTATAAAATTACATGCAGTCTTATGGCGGAAAGGTAGCTTAGGCTCACTTTTTGATGCTTTAAAATTGGATTTTAGTTTTGAATTCTTCACATAATGTACAATCAAACAGGTTCAAGTCTCATAAATATCTAATTTTTGTCAGAAACTGCACTTATGTGCTTTGTCTTCAAAGTCCCTCAACTCAAAAATCCTGCTCGCCAAATCCACTTGAATCAAATGGATAACTGACTCTAATTTCAGTAAGCTTTACGGTGAAATGATTTATTCATCAGTTTGTCTCGGCGAAATCGCAAGCATTGGAGGCGGCATGAATTCTGTCGTAAAACTTAAATCTAGTTTTTTTCTAAAAGGCACGTCTGTCTAAATGACCGAGTTGTCTTATGCGAGATGCTTGAATACACTGATTCTAACTTTATATTTCCGATTTGTTCGAAAAAAAATTAATTGATAACTTTACTATCGGACAAAAATTAGAGGCTTGCACATATACTCATTTAAAAAATGTATATAAAGTCCTGAAAGTAGAAACTCGCAAATAGCTTATGAGATGAAGGTAAAACTGAGCACTTACGAATAAGAACTTGGCGAGACTCATTTTAACAGAGTTTAGAGTTGTAACTGCTTGGCACACAAACGAAGTCTGGTCGTCGAAAACACAGCAAATAATGCTTTTGTTTACTTATATTAGACTATTTATATGTTGCAACGAAAACTGCATAGAAGAGGAAAGGATGAAAACAAATTGCAGCGAGGATTAAAAACGGGATCTCATAATTTGAAAATAATGGTGACCTTAATTGAAATTCTCTTGTTTTCCCGTCGTTAGAGATACAGGTGAAAAAAACAGCATTGCAATTTTTCCGGAAAATTCTCCAAATCTCCCATGAGCCGTAATGTGAAGTAGATAATTTCGCCAGAAAAGGACACTTATGGAAGAGGATGACCATGGAAAGCTAGAAAGCACGATTGCTAGGTGGGAGGCGCCAACGACGGAAAGGTTTTAGGTTTCTCATTAGTTTGCTTTTTCTTGTAAATGAGAGAGGCTGTATTTGCCTCATAATTTATATCTTATTTTTAGTAAAAACCTACTTTGAGTAAGCGTAAAAATCCATTTGAGCAAGGTGGTGCCCATTTGTGTGACCAAGAGTACTTCAATTTTCTTCAACTTTCGAAAAATTTCATTGTGCTATCCTATTTTAAAATTCCTATAAGAGACAAATCAACGATTTAAATTTATCTAAGACTCAGGGAATACCCGTCGTTTGAGTGGAACCTCTCATTGCGTTTAAGGTGAATCCACTCATTATTTCAATATGCGAGGCCCGGCTGAAAAGTAGCGCCTCCAAGCTCACAACTTGAGAGCAACTGAAGATTTTAGCAAAAACTAAAAATATTCTGAAAGTGGACTTAATTTCCTTTCTCACGGTTTATCGGTTTGCAATATTGAACACTTTTTGACGTTACAACCTTGCCAAACTTCCGACATGCTCTCTCAAGATGGTCGAAGGAAGATATCGCGGGTGACAATATGATGATGTGATAAATTGCTGTGTAAATTTATTTTTGCCACTCAGTGACACTATTTAAAACGCTGTAATTTTTCCTCATACTTTGCTTGTTTTTGCTTATCTCGAATTCGTCGAATTTTAGTGGGCCAGAATTTTACTCTTGGCATAACTTGCCAATCGTAATATTTTCCCTCAACATGTCGGAGAGGATAATTCGGAAATTTGGCAACGCTGCAACGTCAAAAATTGTTCAATTTTGCAAACCGATTAATCATTAGAAAGTTAATTACGTCCACTCTTATTAGAATATCATTAATTTTTGCCAAAATCTTCAGTTGTTCTCAAGTTATGAGGCGTTATTTTTCAGCCGGGCCTTGTAATTTAAAATCTTCTCGGTGATGAAACTTTTCCTTCCTCATCTCCCAGAAAACTGAATTCACAGGAAATGAATATATTTCCAAAAAGATTATAATATTTTGCGGTCTAACTATACCCAAAAGTAAAACCAAAAGTATGGTAGAAGTTGTAACATCAAAAAAAAAAAATCAGGGGAGACCCAACATTGTTACGTCAGTGACGAGCAGAAACTATGTACCTACTATGCACTGATACGGTTCTTTGATAATCTTCTCTCAATAACTCTCCCTATAAGGTGCGTGACGCTGAGTCGTTTCCCTTTTTGCCTTCACAGAAAAAATTAAATTGCTGATTTAACAACTCAATTGCTAAAAAAAAGTGACTGCAATTTTTCAATGTAGATTTTACAAAAAAAAAATGCAACTTCAACCACCCCCGAGCAGGGTGGCAAAATTTCATGAAAAATAAAATCTTGAAATTTCACGTGAAATATTTCATGAAATTTCAGAAATTTATGAAAGATATTGAAAAATACGAGTTTTTTTTATGTTTTGAAAGTTTTAAAAATCTTGATTTTCTTCTATCTTTGGGTGTTTGAGTGCGGGTTGCATACTCTGGCCCCTGAAAAATATGAAATATTTCACAGCCTCGTGAAATTTCATGAAATATTTCACTGAAATTTCCAATCTTTCATTTCTTTCTTACGTTTCATGCCACCCTGCCCCCGAGCCCCGTGGTTAAATTAGCTTACAATAGTGGTTGAAATAGCATTTTTTTTGTTGTGAAATCTACGTTGAAATATTGCAGTCACTTTTTTTTTTAGCAATTTAATTGTTAAAACAGCAATTTAATTTTTTCCGTGTTTTGTCTCTCATAATATTTGCACAAACATAGGTATTCTCGCTGAATAAAGTGGAAACTGTTGAAATTGCAGTCCTGAGTAATGTTGGACCGTAGCCTTTCAATCTGAACTATAACGCACCACAACTTACACTAAAACCTCTACCTCCTCCATCTCGGTGCATTCCGTAATATTTGCTCACATTCTATGTTTTAAAATTTTTGGGCTGCCTCCAAGCTAACTGCGCCGGTGGCGAGAGTAGACTGCTACAGTCGAAAATCGATACTCGAAAACCTAAATATTTGGGGGAAAACCCCCATTCCTTTCAGCAGTGGTGATACCACTGCGGGGAGGGAATTTATCTGGAAGAATGTGAACTCAATATTTCAAAATTCTCTCATTTTTACTCTCTTATCAGAAACTCGATAGCTCGAACTTTTTTCGTCTCCATTTAACTTCGAGTCATCGATGTTTGACTGTGCAAACCTGCTCCTGCTGCACATGATAAGAATACTGTCGTGCTAGGGAAAAACGTCCTATGAGCATTCGAGAGTTGCCAAATTTCCTACAGTAAGATGTTAATTTTTGAAGAAAGTTATGAATGAAGAAGTTGAGTTTATGAAGTTGTTTTTGAAATGTTCAGATACTTTAGATTCAATTGTGAATGAAATCCTGTAAAAAATTGGTAGAAAAATATT